CCCCACCCCTCCCCCCCCCCCGACGCCGCGCCCCCCCCCCGCTCCCTCGGGAGCCGCCAATCAGTGGCCGGCGTGCCCGGTGGCGCTCTCCATTGGCCAGCGGGGCGGGACGGGGCTGCGCACCCCCGGCGAAAGGAACCGAGTCGTGTCTCCGCTGCCGAGCCTCCGCTCAGGGGCGCTTGCTATTGGCCGGCGCAGCCGTCCGTCCGAGGTGGGCGGGCCGTGGGCGGGGTAGGGCAGGGCTGCGCGCGCAGGCTGGGGTGGGCTCAGGCCCTGCTGCGGTTCCCTGAGCGGTGGTTCCCGGGCTGCTGGGTCGCCGAGCGCGGGGACTCGGGGGCGGAGCCGGGGTCGGACTGGGGGGCCGGCCGCAGGTCTGTCCGGAGCGGGCGGGGCGCGGGAGGGGTCGGGGTCGGGTCCGCTCGCACCTGCTGCGCCTAGTCCGTGGGTCAGACGCGGGCGGGAGGCGGTGTAGGGGACATCCCAGCTCTGCGACCGAGCCCAGCAGACCTCGCGGCCCCGGGCCCGCGGGGCGCAGCAGCCACTAGGGAGCACTGTCGCGTGTCAGGAGCGTGGCGCAGGAGGGTCGGCGGGGGCGGGCCGCAGAACTTGGTAGTCTGTCCAAGCTCTGGGTTGGGGACCGTCCCCAACAATCAGCCACAGCGGGGCTGACTTCTCCTGACACCGGCCAGACCCCCACCCTCAGCTGACACCCCCGGACCTGGCCTCAGGCATCGAGGGTAGCTGGGGCCCGGGGGTGCAGGGGCACAGTGGGCCTAGGTGGCTTGAGAGCGGGGGTTTTGGGGGTGGGTGGTCTGTGTTGGTTGGGCAGGAGCCTCACGGCACACTCCTGCCTCCTGCAGCCCCGCCATGGAGCCGGGCAGCGTGGAGAACCTGTCCATCGTGTACCGGAGCGGCGACTTCCTGGTGGTGAACAAGCACTGGGACGTGCGCATCGACAGCAAGGCGTGGTGCGAGACCCTGACCCTGCAGAAGCAGTTGCGGCACCGCTTCCCCGAGCTGGCTGACCCTGACACCTGCTACGGGTTCAGGTATATGGGGCGGGCACGGGTGGCCCCATAGCAGCGTCCGTCCCAGGGAAGTGGCTCAGATGCTGACCCCACCGTGAGGCCACTGGCTGGACGACAACGAGGGGCATCTCACCCAGGCCTCAGTCCAACATCACTGACCTTCTGCCCCACCTCAGGTTCTGCCACCAGCTGGACTTTTCTACCAGCGGGGCACTGTGCGTGGCCCTGAACAAGGCAGCTGCAGGCAGCGCTTACAGGTGCTTCAAGGAGCGGCGCGTCACCAAGGCTTATCTGGCTCTGGTAAGGCCTGGCTGGTCCCTGGGGTGGATGTGGGCACTTCCCAGCTGACCTTGACAGGCCTCTTAGTTCCAAGCTCCCCGCCATGCCTCCTTCTCTAGCTGCCCAGACGTTGTCAGGTGGTCTTCCTGGAAGCGGCAGGCTGACCTGTGAGCTGCGTGTGATCCCCTTGTCTGGCAGGTGCGGGGGCACGTCCAGGAGAGCCAGGTGACCATCAGCTACGCCATTGGCAGGAACAGCACGGAGGGCCGGGCGCACACCATGTGCATCGAGAGCACGCAGGGTATGGTGGGTGGTCTAGGGCCACAGAGCACATGTAATCCAGTGGACACCCTGTGTGGACAGGGCCAACCTGGGCAGGCTTCTTTGGTTGGGGTCACTGGGGCCTTGGACTGGCCCCGCCAACCCTCACACCTGTCTTCTATTCCCCAGGTTGCAAGAACCCAAAACCGAGTCTCACAGAACTGGTAGTTCTGGAACACGGGTTGTACGCAGGCGACCCCGTCTCCAAAGTGCTGCTGAAGCCACTCACAGGTGTGTCCAGGGGTGGGGGGTGTCCCCACCAAGCAGAAAAGGGAGGTGAGGCACAGAGGCTGTGCAGCGGGCCTGGGGTCACCCTGAGCATCCAGGCAGAACTGGTAACAACGGCCCAAGCGGAGCCCACGCCCCGACTCCACGCCTGCAGTCTGTCGTCTGACACAGGGTCTTTGCTCCTTCCTGTCTGAGCTTTGCAGGTCTTGCTGGCTTTGGTCGTTAGGACCAAGTGCCACTGTCAGTTTTCTGTCTCGAGCCATCATGTTCAGTCTACAGCAGGGAACAGGAAAGGTCGTGTCCCAAGGGATGGCCATGAGGTTTCATGGCCACGTGGAGAAAGTTGCTGGATGTGGTGGGAGCTAGGTGGGGTGTAGGCACAGAGCAGCCCCCGCCCCAGCCTGACCACCTGCCCCCACCCCTGCAGGCCGGACACACCAGCTCCGCGTGCACTGCAGCGCCCTTGGCCACCCAGTGGTGGGGGACCTGACATATGGGCAGGCCACAGGCCGGGAGGACCAGCCCTTCCGCATGATGCTGCATGCCTTCTACCTGCGCATCCCCACGCGGGCCGAGTGCGTGGAGGTCTGCACGCCGGACCCCTTCCTGCCCAGCCTCGATGCCTGCTGGGACCCCCATACTCTGGTGCAGTCTCTTGATCAGCTTGTCCAGGCCTTACAGGCCGCCCCTGACCCTGACCCCATGGATGGGGACCCTGGGCCCTGCAGCTTCTCCATGCCCCCACCGCCTTGTAGCAAGCCACTCAAGACTGAGGCACAGCAAGCCTCGTGTCTGCAGTGGCTGTCAGAATGGACTCTGGAGCCGGACAACTGAGAGCTGCTGCCCTGGAGGTGGGGGGTGGTGGACTGGGACTTCTAGGGGGCTGGGGCTGCACGTCAGAGCCCTAGGCCCATCCTGAGGCAGGGGTGCCCCTCTTGGGCAAGCCCACAATCACCGGCTCCTGGGCCTGGTTGTAGAGGAGGACTCTGGGGGACACTGGGCTGCCAGGAAGGGCCAGCAGGGGGTGCCAGGCAGCCATGGTCGCTGGCAGGCGTGGCGTAGTCTGACTGTGGGACTGATGCCCAATTCCCAGGGCCTTCCTCCCAGCACCCCCTAGGGGAAACCAAGGCCCTTTCTTCCTCCTGGAACAGCTTTTTGGCACCAAAGTTACACCCTAGGGGTCTCTGTTTTATACTTATCCAAGGTTACACAGTTGGAGGAGGCAGTCAGGATCTGAGCAGTCTTTGTCCCAGAGTAGGCTTTTTCTGGGCCCAAGCAGCTGCTACCTCCCGTGGGCCCCCAGCCCAATCCCAGAGCAGCAGGAGCCCAGGCCCACCCAGTCTGGTGTTCTGAAGCTCTGTGCTCCTCACTGCTCTGCCCAGACCTGCTGTACCCCTCAGCCTGCTGCACCCTCTCCTTCTGCAGACTCCACCCATCACGGAGTCTGCATGATGCCCAGCCTGCTTTGTGCCTTTGCTTTTGCCAGACTCCGCCCACCAGCTTCACCCTTCTCCACCTGGATCCTGAGCTCGGGGCGGCACTTGGCCTCAGCACATGGGTGTGGGTTGGAGGCATTGGTCGAGGAGCCTCTCATAGGCGTCCCTCCAGATCTGCTGGGAGCTCTGCTTCTGCTGCGGAATCTTCCAGCCTCCTGGCTGCAGCTGCTGCTGCTACGTCCCCGCCTGGCTCCTGCACAGCCACAGGCTGTCAGTCTCTGCCTTAAGGGCCCAGCCTTGGAGCCGTGGGCCTATGGGGCCCACCTCCTCTGTCCCCCAGCTGCAGCTGGGCTGTAGAGACTCTTAAGTAAATACTGGGTGATTGACCCTGAGAGTGACCATGTGTTTGCATTGGGGTCGGGTCTGGACACCCACACTGTGGGCCATGGGGGCTACATCAGCTCCGTGCATGGCGAACCCCCAGCCAAAAGCATTGGAGCACCCAGCTGGCCTCAACCAGGGTGCTTCATAGAGCCCCTGCCCCTCACATGGGCCTCAGGCTTGTTCTCCCAAAGTCTCAAGCTCTGTGGAAGGGTGTCACTTGGACCAACAACCACTTTAAGGTCATAGCCGTGCCCACAGTGCAGCTCTTGGGCTGGCCTCAGCTGTAATTCTGGGCATGATCTCAGCAGGGATGGCTCCAGAGACCCAGCGCTTGGAATCCCCACGCCAGGGCTGTTCTTTGTGTCTCCATTTTCTCATCTATAAAGGGGCTAGAGAGCGTCAGCAGAGACCGAGTAACTCACGCAGCTCATCAGGTCAGCACTATCACGATAGTTACTCTGACATGCCAGGCAGGCCGTGCTTGCCTATGGAAAGCCTTTCCAGGCACACTCAGCTGGCCAGGCCCCACCTCATCACATCCCCTCCTCGCTGAGCCCCATCCTCTGCCTGCAACCCCCCATCCCTTGCTGCCCACTCCCCACCACATTTTTTCCACCAACCACAATCTCGTTTATTTCCTGCTTCCTCCGTCTCCCTCCAGAAGCGGGTGGGCCTCATCCCTGCACAGGCCTGGCTCGAGGTCAGCACTCAATAAGTATCTGTGGGGAGCAGAGAGATGTTCCCAAAGGGCTTAGGCCCGTGAGCTCACCTTCCAGCGGGCAACCAGGCCCATGCCATCTCACCTGCAGCTGCCACACAAAGGTCACTGCCACAACCTGTCCTGCACATCCCCATCCTGAGGAGCAGGTCCCACGTCCCTGTCACCCTGGACTCCTGACAAGCTCGGTTGCTTCCCAACAGTGGCACGTGCCAGAGGGGCTGAGCCCACAGGGGCTGGGGCTGGGCCAGGATCACCCAACACCCTTTCCTTCCTGGTGAGCCCCCAGGGTCCTCTCCCTGCCAGGACCTCAAACAGGGCTATCCCAAAACATCTCACGAGTGTGGCCAGGACTCCGTCCCTGTCCCCAGGAAGCTGTTGGCCTACAGCGAGTGCCTATGCCCCCCTCAGAGTGAAAGGCCGAGCTAAGGAGTCTGTTTCCCATGCAGGGGCAGGGAGAGAACTGGTTTTTTCCAGGTTGCTTTTCAGAGCCTGTTGAAGGAGTTTCTCTTAATTACCAAAGCCGAATTCTCCAATGTTGGGGGAAAAAAAAGATCCCATAGCAGTTGGGGTGCTCCTGGTGTCCCTCACATGAGCCCTTCTAGAGCCAGGAGCAAAGGCAGCCCCAGCACCCCCACTGTCACCCCCACCCCCACCCTTCAGGACCCTCCGAGCAGGACCCGCCAACGGGCAAAAGCAAGAAGACCCCTCTCGCCTATTACTGGTGCCACTGCTGGGCTCCAGCCAATCGCTGAGTGCCAGGTGGCCCAGGGCCGTGCAAGGAGGTCAGCACGGGGTTGGGAACTAGGGAGGACCCCAAGGCTGTTCTGCAGAGTGGGGCCTCCCTGGCTGGAGCGAGGACTTGGAGAGAGCACGGGGTGGATCTGGCTGGCCCCAAAGCACCAAGTCCAGAACATAGCCTGAGCCACAGAGCAAGGTACAGCCAAACAAACAGCTGGAGGGAAGGGGTAGGCCACGCCCTGGGGAAGGCTCCGCACTTCTCGCTCCCCTCCCCCCACTTCTTGCTCCCCTCCCCCCACATGTGGATCAGCTCTCCACCTGGCAGGTGTCCCTACACGCCCTCTCTACCCCACGGGGCACACACATGTGCACACGCCTGCCTGGCTGTGTGCTCAGCACCCACAGGATGGCCACAGGCATTAAACTCAGCTAACACATTGGGTCCATGTGTGCAGAATGTCCTGCACGGGGACACATGGAGACAAACAGCACACACATGTGATGCTCCCGAGCACACAGGCCATGTAGCCTGAGATGCACGTGTAGGTGTACTTGTGCACAAGGTGAGCGCAAACGGCAGGGCTGGGCCCCCCGTGGGGAGGGGCGTGTGCTGGGTGGCCTCCAACCATGAGCTCAGCCTCCACTCCCCCGGGGCTGGGGAGCAGGTGCCCGCTGTGCCTGGGGCCCGCACAGCAGTGTCACCTGGCACAGCCAGGCCCCTCCCCTCCAGGACTGCCTGGCGGGCATCGCTGCAGAAGCGGGGTCCAGCCCCAGGCAGGGCAGTTGCGGGTGGCCTGCTGGGCCAGGCATGGAGGTGAGGGGGGACCCTGGCGTCCTCGCCCTGCACCGCCCCTGCGCCCTGGTGCTCAGCCGCACAGGCTGACGCGCAGGGTGGGCTGGGATCACTGGTGTCTGAGTGCCTAGTCTACAGCTCCCTGGAGCAGCCTCCCATACCACAGACCGTGTTCCCGCTCAGGTGAGAGGGGCAGGTGCAGGGGCGGGGCCACCTGAGCAGGTGGCTGAGCCCCTCTGAGCCTCTGTCTGCCCCGTGATTTGGGTGGGAACCTCCCTGCCTCCCTCCTGTCCAGAGGCCCAGAGGTGCCCGAAAGCTGTTGGATCATGCAGGGCTGTGCCCAAGAGGAGGCAAGGGCTCTCAGCCATCCAGCAGCATGGCCAGGCTCCCTGACGCCCCCCACCTGCTGGGACCTGAGCCCCCAGGCCTCGCAGCCTATTCTCCAGCATGGCCAGGGCTGCCATGGTTGTCACCTGAGGCCGGGTGTCAGTGATGGAGCTGGACTGCTGAAGCAGGAAGAGGGGATGGAGCTGCCTGGGCCACCTAGATGTGGGGGTGATGCCGTGGCTGCATGGGGCAGGTGAGGAGCCCCTAGGCGTCTCCCCCCAGGCTGCCGGTGGGACTCCTGTTTGTGAGAGATCTGTTAATTGGAGACTCTGCAGCCTATGGGTCCCCTGAGTCCCAACCTGCGATAAGAAAGGCCCCGGGATTTGGCCTGCCCCTCTCCCTGTGCCTCCCTCTTGTTCCAGAGACTCGTCGTTCGTGGGATTGTTTCCCTCCCCAAAGGTGAGGCCCCAACATCCCATGTGACCCCGGACAGCTCTGCCACTCTGTGCCCTGTGGCTGAGTGGGCAAGGGAAGGCGTGGGCCAGCCCGTGTCACCCCACTCTCTGCTCCAGCTCGTCGTGGACCTGCAACCCGTGGCCCCAGCACCCACCCTGGCACATCTCAGCCAGGATGACCAGCACACACCACCACCCTGCCACGGGCCCCAGAGTGGGTGAGATGATGCTTCCATGTGGAAGGGGTACTCTGGGCCACTGGGGGACTCCCTGGGGTGGCAGGACCACCTGCATCCCTGCAGACATCAGGGTGCTCAGCACTGCAGCTGCCCCATCTTCCTGAGCCCGCACTTGGGGACTGGCCCAAGCAAAGGGAAGGAGAGGGGCAGGCCCTGCCCAGCGCATGGGCCAGGCCGGCAGTGCAGATGCCATCCTGAACCCAGCCCCTGCCTGTAGGCCTGGGTCCCAGTGGGACAGGCAGGGACAAGGCAAAGCCATGGCTGGAGGGGCCACTTCTGGCCCAGGCAGGTGGACCTGGCTTCTGGTAGGCACAGCTCTCTTGAACAGCCCCAGCACAGGCAGGGCCAGGCTCCGATGCATGAGCAGGGAAGGGCCCTGACCTCCAGGAGACGGAGTCCCAGGAATACCCACTGCCCAGTGTCTTGTTCTCCCAAAGAGGGGCAGGCGCCTGGCCCCAGCAGCACAGGAGGCCACGGACAGGGCCACGTGGGCTGTGGCTGGCTTCCACCGAGGCTAATGCCACCTCCACAGGGCCCTTGCACTGTTGGAGAAAAGATTTTGCTAAATGGTTTGTCCAGATCCAGGGAGATAAGGGGCACCCCTGCACCTGAACCCTCACTTTCTGGGCTGGGTTTTTAAGGCAAGAACATGGACTAGTTCCCCCCAATCCTGCTGGGAGACCCTGCCGTGGCCTCACTGCAGAGGCTGAGCAACTGAGGTCTGGCAGGGCGGCCTCTGAGAGGGCCAACCCCCAGCCCCCTGCTTCAGGTTCAGACTTTGAGGGCACAGAGCCATGGTAGGGGGTGCTGGAGGGAGAAGGAGTATGCACACGCTCACACGCTGTCCACATGCATGCACACGCCATCACACATGCACCCTGAGGCCTGGGCTGCACATGAGGGGGTTCCTGTGATTGGGGAGCACAGGAAGTCCTGCACAGACCCCAGACTGGCGCTGGGTGGTCCTGTGTTCACTACTGCTGAGACCCTCACAGCCCACTCTGTCCCAGGTTCCCTGGCAACCCCAGGCCTCGCACTGCTCCTGTCCCTCACCGCCCACTGTGCTCCTCCCCAGCCTGAGGAACTCTCCCAGGGAGCGCTGAAGGCTGCTGGGGCCGACCTATGGGCCAGGTGAGTGCCAGGCCCCTCCTGCATCTCTGTGTCTGCTGATTCACTGCAGGGAAAGGAGGAAAAGGTGGCATGGCCATTTGAGGTCCCCAGGGAGGCACCATTTCCAGGGTCTGTACTCAAGGGCAGCTATGCAGGCAGCTGTCTCCTACTGGGGGGCCCTGGCCCTGTCTCTAAGGTCACTCCGCATCCTCACCCCAAGAAGACCCAGAGTGTCCAATATCCAGCTTCAGTTTCAGGTCTAGAAGCTGGTCCCCAGGCCATCGCCAAGGCACATGGGAGGCCTTGACCATCTGAGGCCCATGACCTTCACCTGGCCACTCTGGCTTGGGCTGGGGTCCCCCTGAGTATCCCCTCGGGGCTCCAGGCCCAGCCGACCTCCACTGCTTGAGCCCAACTTGGGTCTCTTCCGCTTTCTTCCTTCCACCCTGAGGCTTGGCCACCGCAAACAGAGACTCGGTCATTTCCTCACACTGTTGGGCACCTCATGCCTGGGCACGGCCATTCTCCCCTTCCCAGGGGTTGGTAGTCACTGATCAGCTAGTCAATCAATTAACTACATGATCAATCAGACAGGGCCAGGGGCCCAAGGGGGACCAGCCAGGCCCATGCTAACATCGCATGAGACCCTACTGCGTGCATGGGTTTTTTTAGAGTCACACTGTAAGGAAAGGTGGCCTGTGGTCACCCAGCAAGTGCCGAGGCCACATCTCCTCCCAATCCCTCAGCAGTGGCCCAGGGCTGGGGGATGTCCAGGGAGCTGCCCAAGCTCAAAGCTGTTTGAGAAGCACAGACCCAGAATCTGGGCAGGGACCATATTTAAGCCCCTACACGTAGCTGAGAGCCTGGCCCCATGGATGGATGGATGGATGAATGGACGGATGGATGGATGGATGGATGGATGGATGGATGGATAATGGATGATGGTGGATGGAATATGGATAGATTAATGGATGGATGGATGAGTTAAAGGATGGATGGATTAATGGATGAAGGAATGGACAAGTGGATGGAGCAGAAATCTTGTATGTGTCGAGGCATTTCTTGGGTACCACATCCTGCTTCTCACTCTTGGTGTTGGGGAGTCTGGCCTGGCTCCTGCATCCTGCAGCTTCCACCCTTCCTGCGGCCTGCTCCCTTCACCTTGTCCATCCTGCCTGGTCCCCCTCCTCCCTCTGCCCCTCACCACCTTCTCCTCTCCACCTAGTGCTGACGCCTCCCTTCTGCAAGGTTTCTGGTGCCAGCCAGCCAGCCAGCTGCCCCGGTTCCAGCTCTCGGCTCTGATCAGGAGGATGGCCTCGCAGCAGGTCCTCCTCAAAGCCTGGCAGGTAAGCAGCTGTGGCGGGGCAGTTGTCAAGGGTAAGGCCAGACTCCCTGGAGAAGGGCCTGGAGATGGAAGCGTTTGCTAGATGCAGGAGGGTACCCCTGGCAGATGGCAGGGCAGGCAGGTACTGATGTGGAACCCAGGGCTGGGGACTGACCAGTCAGAAACACACGTTTGCAGCTCACTGGAGCACCAGGGTTGTCGTGAAGCCAGTCTGCCAACTCCAGAGCTACCTAAAATGTGTCTATTGGTGAGGCCTGCTGTGGTCCGTTGCCAGGACTCATTAGCCAGTTTGCTGGCAGATGCTTCTGCTTTGTGTTCCTGGTGAGGATGATAGTTTGTCCACTTCACCTGCATTGTCCCCTTCCCCAACTTTGTGTGGTGCATGACGCACCTCTTGGGTGGTTTTGCAGCCCACTGACTCTTACCTGGCTGGGGCTGCAGAATCCTGGGCGGTGAGAGGGGCCAGCTGAGCCCACCTCAACCCTGCAGCTGACCCAAGCGTCATACACCCCTGAGTGGAAAAAGAGAGAGAGAGAGGAAGGCAGGAAGGAAGCTTTGTCATTTTGTCCTGCTATAAAATTAGTAATAAACTTATTCAAGAAAAATTGGAAAATGCAGAAAAGTAGAAAGACCCTACCCTCTCCAGGGAAATGCCTAACTCCTGAGTCCTTCCTGTGGTCCCTTGTTTGCCCAGGGATTAGTTGGTTTAATGCCCAGGTTGTGCCTGAGTTGCCGTGTCATTGCATGACACAGTCACTGCGGTCCTGGGGAACCTAAGTCCTGGTCCCTTCATGCTGGTCACTCACCTCGTTACCGCTTTTCCCTGCGGTGGATCAAACCATATGGAACAGGTTTTTGGATTCAATGATTCCCTGAGAACAGACCTGTGTACTGAGGACCTGTGCATTTTGTGAGACATTTTCCGAGCTATGAAATTAATACATGCTCATGTGGGGGACTTTGGGAAACACTGGAAAATACAAGGGAAAAGTAAAATCCAATTTTTCCAGGTTTTCTTTTCCCAGGATTTAGATAACTCTCTGTTTTTCTTTGTTATAAATATCACAGGAATATTTTCACATAAATAGTTGAATGGTTCTCAATCCAGATATATCCAGTTGTTTTCCAGGATAATACAACAATTATCACCCCACCGGGGAGAGAAAATCACCCCCTATCCTGCCCTCCCCTAAGGTCAATACTGTCATTTAAAAATCTTTGCTGATTTGAGCAGGAGAGATGGTGTCTTTGATATGAACATTTTAAAGCCTCAGGTAGCTGTTGTTAAGTTGCTTTCTACAAGGTTCTGTTGATTCTCCAGTAATGTATGAGGGAGCTGATGTGGCCACATCTTCACCAGCATTAGGCATCACCATTTAAACAAGCAAAACCTAAACTCTTTGGCAATCAGATCTTCCCTATTTCTTGACTCCACTCCCTCCAGTGTTGTGTGAATTTTTATGAGGGTGTCTGGTTTTCATGATTCACTTACGAAAACAAAGGTAATTCAGAAATTTCATGAAAAAACAGAATTGAAAGATAATGGGAATGTCTCCTTGAACTTTTTGTACTGTCCCTCATACATAAATCCCTTTATGAGCTAACTTTAAAAAAAATTAATAGACTATATTTTAGAGCAACTTTAGGTTTACAGAAAATTAAACAGATAATACAGAGAGCTCCCTTATACCCCTCCACATCCCAGCCCAAACACAGGGTTTCCCCCATCATCAACATCTTGTATTAGAGGGTACATTTGTTATAATGAATGAAGCAACATGGATACATTATTGTTAACTGAAGCCCATGATTCACCTTAGAGCTCACTCTCTGTGTGGCACATTCTGTGAGTTGTGACAATTGCATAATGACATATGTCCACGATTCCAGGATCACACAGAACAGTCTCATCTAACTCTTTGCTCCACCGATTCATCCCTCCCCTCTCCCGCTGAGCCCGTGGCAACCACTGATATTCTACTGTTTCTATGGTTTTACCTTTTCCAGAATGTCATATAGTTGGAATCATACAGTATGTAGCCTTTTCAGACTGGCTTCTCTTAGTGATATACATTTAAGGTTCATCCATGTCTTCTCATGGCTTGGTAGCTTTTTATTGCTGAGTGATGCCCCTTTCGTGACGTACCGCAGTATATTTATCCCTTCACCTAGGGAAGGACATCTTGGTTGCTGCCTGTCTTTGGCAATTATGAATAAACATTTGCATGTAGGATTTTGTGTGAACCTAAATTTTCAACTCATCTGGGTAAATGCCTAGGAACGTGATTGCTGGATCATATGGTAAGAGTTTGTTTAGTTTTATAAGAAACTGCCAAACTGTCTTCCAAGGTGGCTGCACCATTTTTTTATTCCACCAGCAGTGATTGAGAGCTCCTGTTGCTCCATGTCCTTGGTACTGTTCATGTTTGGGGTTTTTGACTTTCTAAAAGGTATGCAGTGGCTTCTCATTGCTTTGATGTGCAATTCCCTGTTGACATAGGATGCTGCACATCTTTCCACATGATTATTTGCCATCTATATATCTTCTTTGGTGAGGTGTCTATTCAGATATTTTGCCAATTTTTAATGAGTTGATTTATTTTCTTACTGCTGAGTTTTAAGAGCTCTTTGTATATTTTGTATATAAGCCCTTTATCTGATACATGTTTTGCAAATATTTTCTCTCAGTCTGTAGCTTGTCTTCTCGTTCTCTTAGTGATTTTTGCAGAGCAAAAGTTTTAAACCTTAATAAAGTCCAACATCAATTCTTTCTTTCATGGAATATGCTTTTGGTGTTACACCTAAATGCTCCTCCGCAAACCCAGGTCACCTGATTTTCTCCTCTGTTATCTTCTAGAAGTTCTGTTGTTTTGCATTTTATATTTATATCTGTGATATAATTTTTGTTAAAAATATAAGATCCACATCTAGTTTTTTTTCTTGTATATATGCATATGGGCATCCAGTTGTCCTGGGTCTATTTCTGGGCTCTCCATTCTATTCCACTGATCTGTTTTTCTATTCTTTCAACAATACCACATGTCTTGATTATTGGTGCTTTACAGTAAGTCCTGAAGTCAGGTAGTGTCAGTCAAATGACTATTCTGCTTCAGTATCGTGTTGGCCATTCTAGGTCTTTTGCCTTACTGTATAAACTTTAGAGCCATTTTGTTGATATACACAAAATAACTTGCTGGGATTTTGATTTGGACTGTGTTGAATCTATGGATCAAGTTGAAAAGAACTGACATTTTAACAACATTGAATCTCCCTATCCATGACCATGTACTGTCTCTCCATTTATTTAGATCTTTTTTTATTTCTTTCATCGGAGTTTTGTAGCTTTCCTTGCATCGATCTTATACATATTTTGTTAGACTTATTCCTAAATATTTCATGTTTTTTGTTGTCAATATAAATGGTATTGTGTTTTTTATTTCAAATTCCAATTGTTCATTTCTGGTATATGGGAAAGCAATTGGCTTTTACGTATTAACTTTGTGTCATGCAGCCTTGCTATATTTCCTTATTAGTTCCTGGAGATTTTTTGTTTTCTTTTGTCAATTCTTTGGGACTTTCCACGTAGGAAATCATGGCATCCATGAACAAAGACAATTTTATTTCTTCTTGCCAAGTCTGTTTACCTTTTATTTCCTTTTCTGGTCTTATTGCAATAGTCAGGACTTCAGTGTGATGTTGCACTACCCATGAAATGGTATAATGTTATTTGAAAGTGGACTTAGATTAGTTGTAAATGTTTATTGCAAACTGTAGGGAACTACTAAATCTTTGTTAAAGAAGTACAATTGTTCTGTTAAGAAATGAGAGAAAATGAATCCTACAAAATGCTCAGTTCAAACCAGAGAAGGCAGAAAAGGAGTGGAAGACAAAAATAGGCATAAAGAACAAGAGCAACGGATAGAAAATGGTGAAAATATGGTAGACCCTAACCCAGCTATATCAGTAATCACTTTGAATGTCAGTGGCCTACATGCATCAATTAAAAGACAGATTGTCAAAGGACAAGATTCAACTATATGTTGTCCACAAACAAACAAACAAAAAAAAAAAACCACTACTGTGGTCTGAATGTTTCTTCCCTCCAAAGCTCATGTGGAAGTTTGATCCCCAATGTGGCAGTGTTGAAAGGTGGGGCTTGTGGGACATGATTGGATCATGAGGGCATAGCCCCCATGAATGGATTAATCTATTCATGAATTAATGAATTGATGGGTTAATGGAAGGATGAGTTATCACAGGAGTGGCACTGCTGGCTTTACAAGTAGAGCAGCTGAACATATTAATATGCTGTCTCAGCCCTCTCACCATGTGATACCTTGAACTGTCTCAGGACTCTGCAGAGACTCCCCACCAAGAAGGTCCTTACCAGATGCACCCCTTGACTTTGTACTTCCCAGCCTCCAGAACTGTAAGAAATAAATTTTATTTCTTTATAAATTACCCTTCCCTGTACTGGCCACCAACCAAAAAAAAAAAAAAAAGCAGCTTTAGGTATTCTAGGTGACAGAAGAAAACTAACTAATACACCTACTTTAAATATAAAGACACATATAGACTAAAATGAAACAGATGGAAAAATATACCATGATAACACTAATCAAAAGGCAGAGTGAGTGAGTAGCTGTATTAATTTCAGATGAGCAGACTTCAAAGCAGGGAAAGTTGTCAAGGATAAAGAGGGCCATTACATAATGATAAAGGGGGAAATTCTCCAATAAGATGTAACAACCATTAACATGCATGCACCTAACAACAGAGCATCAAAACATGAGGAAAAAACTCATAGAACTGCAAACAGAAATAGATGAATCCCCTATTATAGATAGAGAGTTCAACACTTTGCATCCGTAACTGACAGATCCAGAAGGCAGAAAATCAGTAAGGACACTGTTGAGCTCAACACCAACAACCAGATGGATATAATTGACACCTATAGATTACTTCATCCAACAACAGCAAAATGCACATTCTTCTTCATGTCACATGGAACATTCACCAAGATAGAGCACATTCTGAGCCATAAAACACACAACAAATTTAAAAAATAGAAATCGTACAATGTCTGATCTCAGATCACAATGGACTCAGACTAGAAATCAATAACAGAAAGATAGCAGGAAAATCCCAAAATACTTGGGGATTATATGGCACACTTTTAGAGAACACATGGGTCAAAGAAGAAGTCTCAGGACAATCTTTTAAATATTTCGAATTAGATAAAAATGAAAACACAGTTTATCAAAATTTGTGGGGTAGGGCCGAGCCTGTGGCGCACTCGGAAGAGTGCGGCACTGGGAGTGTAGCAGCACTCCCGCCGTGGGTTTGAATCCTATATCAGGATGACCAGATGACCGGTGCACTCACAGCGCTCACTGGCTGAGCACAGTGTGGCCGGTCTCAAAAAGGACAAAAAAAAAAATTGTGGGGTATACTGAAAGCAGTGCTTAGAGGAAAACATAGTACTGAATGTACATGTTAAAAAAAAGAAATATCTAAAATCAATCATCTAAGCTTCCATATTAGAAAACTAGAAGAAGAAGAGCAATATAAGCCTAAAGCAAGCAGAAGAAAAGAAATGGGAAAAATTAGAGCAGAAATCAGTGAAACTGAAAGCTGCTTCTTTGGAAAGATCACTAAACCCCTAGCCAGGCCAACCAAGAAGAAAAGAGAGAAGACACAAATTATTAATATCAGAAATGAAAAAGGGGCCATCACTACAAACCCTACAGACAGTAAAAGGACAATAAAGAAACATCCTTGCACATAAATGCAACAGCTTAGATGAAATGGACCAGTTCCCTAAAAGACAAAATCTATCCAAGCCCACAAAAGGGGAAAGAGAGCATCTAAAAAGGCAGATCATCTGAATATGCAGGATTATCTTTTTTCATCCTTTTACCATCAATGTTTGGGTTACTTTATGTTTGGGTGTATCTTAAACAGCATAGAACTGAATGATTTTAAATGTAATCTGAAAATCTTTGTCTTTTTATTGCAAAGTTAGTCCACTTACATCTATTAAGATCATTGCTTTCTTGGGCTTTGTTTCTTCCACCTGACTCTTTGTTTCTCTTTTTCCTACAGTATCCTTGTCTCTGGGTGGTTTGAGTATTTGTGCTGTGGTTGTTACTCTGCTCCTTGCCCTGTGTCTTTACGTACACTCACACACACACTTCAGCTGTTTGTTAAGTGCAGCTTCTGTGTTTTCATCAGTGCAAGCAACTGCTAACTGTGTAATACTGAGAGTTTGTGTATCTGCTTCAATGTTTTCCTAATCTGCTTTTTGCCTTTTTATTGACAACCAAATACCTTTAACATTCTATTAAAAGTCACAGACATTCTACATATTCATGTGTTGGGGATATCCCAGTTTTTCTTCCCCTCCCCTCTTGGTGTAGAGGACCCTTACCCACCAGGAGGTTGGTGCCCACTCTCCATTCCCTGGAGCAGGCTGGAAGAGGGGTTTGGGGTGGAGCTTCTTGGCAGGGGCTGCACAGAAATTTGGGGACTGTCGCTTTTGCTTTGAGGCCCCTTTCTCACACATGACTTCTTCACCTGTGGTCGATTGATGTAAAGTTAGGTAGAAGGACCCTTGGAGGAATTAACTAAAAATGCTTGAAATGACACCAAAGTAGTCCAAGCCAGAGAAGTCTAGGCAGGGGGTGGCTAAGAAGCAAGAAGGCGTCCTGCCATGGATGCAGTGGACAAGTGAAGCCTCAGTGGGACACTGAAGCAGGATGAGGGCTGGGGAAGGACACTGGGACTGGGCAGAGGATGCTGGAGGAGGGTAGAGCTGGGCTGAGGCTGAGAGGCACCACCCGTGGCTCCAACTTGGGAAGCTCTCCAGGGGGCTGTGCTGGAGGCAGGGAGGTCCCCAGCCTAGCTTGGGCTTCCTGGGGCCTCTGTGAGAGAGGACAGGGAATTGTCTACACCTGCCCAGCATCCAAAGTCTCCCTTCAAAATCCTTTGCAAGGGAGGAGAATGTTGCCATCACAGCCAAATCAAGGGGCCATGGCTGGAGAGCAGAGGGGGCTTTCGGACTGGGTCTTGAGGCCTGTTTTGATGTGGAAGCTGATGCAGGAAGAAGGAGGCCAAAGGAGGAGGAAATGGTGGATGTCCAGATGGGGCCGGCCCTGCAGGGAGGCCGGGCCTGAGAGCTGGGTGGGGGCTCAGCCCCAAAGGCCCCATGTGGAGGGGGAGGGGCTGGCAAGTCCAGCCAGAACAAGGGAGTGACACCACCCATCCCGCCAGCTCAGCTGCCTGGCCAACCTCGCCATGCGGCACGGCCTCCAGGATGACTTTGAGCTCCAGCCACCAGACCTACTGCTCTTTTACAAGTGAGTGCCCACACCAGGTCCAGGGCTGGCCCCGTGGCCACCACCACCACGAGTGGCACCTGCTAGCCATGGGCTGAACCGCCTCTCTGGAATCCTGGGGGGACCCCAACCCCCAGGGGTATCTCAGATCACCCTGGAGGACCCGGGTAGGGCTGTTGGGAGGCCACCCCTGCCCTCCTGACATTCTCCCTCCTGCCTCAGCCTGAGCCAGGTGAGGGAAGCTGACTGCCGCACCTTCACCCGCCGTGCTGCCCAGGGCCACATGGAGCTGCTAGCCAACCTGCCCGACCAGAGAGTTGCCCTGCAGCACGCAGCCATGGCCTGCTTGGTAGGCACCCAGGCAGGCAAATGGGTGGGTGGTAGGGTGGGCCTCCCTCCCACTGACCTGTGTCCCTGCAGGGGGGGCCCCGCCCATGGCTCAGCGCCTCTGACCTGCTGGTCCTTGGGGTCCTGGTGTGTGACATGGATGCACCCAACATCATCACTGCAGACCCTCAAGTGCTGCAGAACCTGCGACTCTGCCCCCAGCTGACCGCCGCCCAGAGGGCCGCCCTCAACATCCTGCTGGCCAGTGGGAGGACCCAGCTTGGGTGGGTGGGGGTCACAGGGGCCGGGGTGAGGGAGGATCCACAGGGCTGGAGGGGCCTCACCTCCTCAAGATGAGACAGAGGCAGCCCGGGGTTTGGGCCCAGAAGGTCACTGATGTCCACAGTCCCACTGACCTCGGACCCCAGACCCCAACATCACTCTGACCCTGCAGCCTATGAGGCACAGGGTAAGGGGTGCTGCGCCACTGTCTGGGGTGGGAGTGTCTGCAAGGACCAGGTGTCCCCAGCAGGGAAGACCCTGTGAACCTTGTGTGGGTGCTGGCTTGGGGCTGGCATGTCAGGGAGGAGCAGGAGGCCTGCAGGGGCTGGGATGCTGTCCTAGACCTGGACACGGTGCCCTTCCTATGCACCAGGCCCCCTGGCTCCTGGAACCTGGAGGGGCTGCAGGCCCTGGGACCTCTGGCTACCTACATCAGCCCCCGCCTGTGGGTGCAGGTGCAGGAGGTAGGATGATGCCTGGGGGGTGGAGTGAGGGGCATCCTGCCATTCAGGCCAAGCATCTGCCACACACACTGTGATGCCTGAGTTGTGTGAGTGAGTGCCCAGATACTCCCCATCACAGGGTTTCTGTCTGTGGGGTGGGGGGAGGGGACCCGTTGGCCCCTCACCATGACATGGAGCCACCACACCTGCCCCGCCAGGCTGTGGGCCTGGACTTCTTCCGCAGCATGGTCGCCATGTGCCGGGTGGGGCATCTCAGTCAGCGTGATGCCAGGCGCTTCGTCACCAGCTTCCTGGAGGCCAAAGCCAGCACAGTGTCCTCGAGGCCCAGGCGGGGCACAGGTCAGTGTGGCCACCGTGGCTGGGGATGCTGCACCTCCCATGGTCTGGGCTGCTCATCCAGGCCTGGTGACCTCAGAGTAGTGATTTGGGTCAAGTTTTCAGTTGGAGGTAAAGCTTGGGGAGACAATCAAGGTCTGGTCAAGGTTGGAAGTGGAGGTAGGGTCATCCACATACCCCACAGGGAGATCCTGTGTCCGTGGCAACATCACAGCAGCGACGCTTCAGGACGACCTCTTCCTGGTGCACTACGACTGCCCCCAGCTTGAGTCCTGCCTGGGCAGCCGCGTGCTCAGGGCCAACCTGGACCCCCTGCTGCAGCACCCGCTGCCCATTGAGTGCCAGCGTGTGGTCAAGGCCAAGCTCACGCAGGTGCGCTGGCAAGCTTGGGGAGGTGTCAGGGCACAGGCCACATGGCTGACACCACCCCTTGCTGGCCTCAGATCTACCCACATGGTGTCCCTGAGGACCAGTTGCGAATCATCACCTCACTGGTCTACCTCTACTCCGTCAATGAGATAGGCCAGTGGAACATCACATCCAGAGACACAGTCGTGGCCTTGCTGGCCTCAGACGTGGCCCTGGAGAACCAGACAGAGGTGAGGGCAGCGGGGGCAGGTGGGGACCACAAGCCCCAGCCCCAAGCCCTGGCTCCACTGACCCTGGTCCTGCCCCCAGGCCGTCCTGCAGAAGTTCCTGGACCACAATGGCAAGGTCACTGGCACCCTGCTAGTGGCCATCGGGGGCTCCCGCCTCTGCTGGATGAGTCCCCGGCAGATCCATATCATCCAGCCTTCAGAATTCCGGTGAGCCCACTCAGCAACCTTGAAGGCAGCTCCCTTCTCAGCCAAGGAGAATCACAAGGGGAAACTGAGGCTCAGGACGAGGTCCAGTCCAGGCGAGGCCATTGGAGGAGCAGTAGGGTCCCAGGGCTGCCATAACAAAGTACCACAAACTGGATGATTTAAAACGATAAAAATTTATTCTCTTGCACTTCCGGAGGCCAGAAGTCCAAAATCGAGGTGCTGGCAGGGCCACACTCTGCGCCTGCAGGGGCATCCTGCCTCTTCCAGCTCTGGTGTTTCTTTACATCACTCCAGGCTCTGCCTCATCTTCACATGAGCTCCCCAGTGTGTCTGTATCCACATTCCTCTGTTTTTATAAGGACACCAGTCATTGGATATAGGGCCCATCTAATCCAGTCTGACCTCATCTTTTAATTTGATTACGTCTGCTAAGACCCTATTTCCAAATAAGGTCACATTCTGAGGTTCCTGGTGGATGTGAATTTTGGGGGACACTGTCAAACTCAGTACAGAGGGAAGAGGAAATGTGTGGCTCAGGGAGAGAGGGCCTTGCCTAGCTGTCCAGAGGGCAAAGGGCTCCCAACCTGCTCACCTGCCTCCTCCTCCCCAGGCTGGCTGGAGCCCTGGACATCTCCTCCTGCCCTCAGAGCCGGAAGGACGTGCTGTACGCCAAGGCCCGTGAGGCCTTTGGCAGCACCAGGACCACGGCTGCATACTACCGCTTCATGCGCCCCTACCTCGGTGAGACCCTGCCCTGTGTGCAGCACCCCTCCCCCAGAAGCCCCGGCCCTCCCCTTCTCACCAGTGCCCCCCCAGGTGGCGCCCCTGTGGAGGAGCTGCGGCACCTGGCCCAGGCCAACGTCTCCATGGACATCGACACCTTCACCAACCTGAACCCCCATGTGCTGCAGGTGGAGCCCCGGGGCCACCCCAGTGGGGGGCTGGGCAGAGCTGGCCAAGCTGGGAAGTCCCCGGGTCACAGGTCCGCACACCCAGAAGTCAGAGGCGTGCAGATGGCGTGGACCCCATGCCACTTCTCCAGGCTGGTTCAGTCCCACCGTTTGCGCTCAATCCTGGGTTAAGCATTGCGCTCGCTGGGTCTTCCCCTGGCCCGGGAAGGTGGCCCCATGAAACCCTCCATCCCTCCCCCTGTCGCCCCCTCATTTTCTTGTAGAGCCTCAGTGTCGACAATGTGACCACGCTGCTGGGCCAGAACGTGGGGGACCTGCAGAAGGCTCGCAGCCACCCGGCCATCAGCTCCTGGCTCCGCAGCCTCAACAGCTCCACCCTGGGCGAGCTGGGCCTGGACACCGGCCTGGATCCCGCCAGCCCCACTGACCCAGGCCACGCAACCAGTGGGTCCCCCAGCACCAGACCCCTTGCACCCCGTCCAGTCCACACCTCAGGCCTGCCCGGGAATGACGCCGAGGTCCCCACCTCAGGTACAGCCTGTGTCCCCTGGTCCCCCTGCCTCTGCTGGGCCCTTTCTGCCCAGGACCCTCTGTGGACCCCTGGCAGCCCCTAGGTTCACACCTCACGCCCGCTCTCCCACTGTCAGCCAGCTTCTTCCCTTTGCCTTCTGGGGGGACGTCTGGGTGGTGTTGGCTTCCACCTTCACTGCACCATAAATTATTTAGGGACATGACTGCCTCCTCCACAATGCCCTGAGCAGCAGGATGTGGGGGTGGAGGAGGCTTTGAGATCCTGTTGGGGCCCAGAAGAGCAGCCATAATGGGAGTCCTCTGCCTTCCCCACCCCCACCACAGAGGGAGGGGCCACCCAGGCCTGTTGGGCTCTTGGGCGTGGCTCTGGGAGCAGCTCCAAGACAACTGATGGGTCCCCTCTGTGTTCCATCCACAGGCAGCCCTCCAGCCCTCCTGGGCTACCTGCCACTTGCTGCAGTCTTGCCCTCTGGCCTCCTGTGGCTACTTCATAGGGACGCCTCAGGGCCCAACCGGGGCTGCCCAAAGGGCGTCTGCACCACCGGCCCACAGCACTGCCCCACAGTGGCTGGGCCTATGGGCGTCACAGGCAGGAAAAACGGGGCTGCTAGCTGGAGCTGGACACGTGCCCAGGCCGAAGTGCAGGCTCTGGGCCCAGGGGACCAGCCTGTGTCCCTCATCCTAGGGGTCTGCAGGTCCCCAGGCTTCCAGGACCTGGAGCTAGACTGGGGACCTGGACCATGAGGAGCTGAGGGATGCCCAGCCACAGGCCGAGGCCAGCAGAGGGAGACGCTGCCCACGCCCTCTGGTCTCCTTCAGGAGAACTGGGTTGGGGTGGGGACTCTGATGTCACTAACCCACTGGTGGATATGAATAAAGCAAGGGTTCTGTTCCTGCTTGTGTCTTTTCTGTGGGCCTGCTCAGGAGCACAGAGACCCCTCTCAGCCAGTGCCCAGCCCCTGTAGGCCTCCCACACCCCTCAGCTGGGGGCTCGGAAACAGAGCTCCCACCCGCTGCCTTTTGGGGCCACCTGAGTGGGGCATGGCCTCAGGTGCAATGGCAATAGGTCAGGAAGGCCTTGAATGGCCCGCACCCTGCCTAGAGGCCCACCCTCGGGACCCCTTTACAAGGCAAGTCGGAGGGGCTGAACTCAAGGAGCCAGTTTATGGGGTCACAGGAAGGGCCAAAGTCACACCTCAGAACACCACAGGGAATGTCTGCACGGGGTATGTGTCCCCGTTTATTGAGCTCAAGTACCCTCGGCATTGGGCAGGGACCACCCAGGCCTGCTCCCGGCTTTGCAGGGCTCCGCAGTGGAGCTGGGGGCATCCGGACGGGTGGCCTCAGCTCAGGGTCCAAGCCGGGAGCAGAGCTGGGATGGCGAAGAGCGCAGGTCCGGGCCCGAGGTGGCAGGACCCTCTGGAGAGGGCCTCTGCGATGACAGAGTAACTCAGACCGCCCACGGCGATCCGCCCCGCCCCCGGCCCAGGCCCCCAGCCCACCTCGGGAGTCGAGGTCCAGGACGAAGTAGCCGTTGGGCACGCCACCGCGGAGCCCCAGCCCCAGGCTGTCCAGGGCCTCCTGCGGCTGCCAGGAGACCCAGTCGCGCACCGGGCTGTTCTCCTCCTCTGCCTTCAGGCCCGCCAGGTGCGGTCCCAGAAGATTCTGCACCTCGGCCACGGTCAGCCGCTGCCAGAGCCCCGGGCAGCCGTCAGGGTCCCCAGCCCCTGCTCCCCAGAGGCTGCTTGGCCCTCCAGACTTTGGGGATCTCGAGCCGGTTGGCCCTGGCTCGACTGAGGCCCCTCCAGAGACCCCGCCCCTTCCCATGGCCCCGCCCTCCCGAGGACTTGCTCTCATCCCAACTCATCCCCATCTAGTGGCCCCGCCCACGCCCGAGGCACCGCCCCTTCGCGAGGCCCCGCCCCCATCCCGGACCCTCCCTCCAGACCCTCCCTTCGACCCCGTACCACCACGGCGTCTTTCCGCAGAGTCTTGAACGTGGCTATATCCATGTTCACGTTCTGCTCACTGAGAGCCTGCAGGTCCTCCGTGGGGGCCCCACCTACCCGCAGGGAGAGGGCCCCACGCGTGAGACTTCACAACACACCCCAGGCCCGCCCTCTGACCACTGGCTACAAGAAGCCCATTGCTTTACAGGGTCCCTTCCTCCTAAGGAATTCCTGGGCCTTGGGATTACCTGGCCGCCGTCTGACCCGCAGCCTCAGTCTCCACACAGTTGGAGGGGTGAGGGGCGGGTGACCGCCCAGGCGCAATGGCAGTGGGCAGCCCAGCGAGGTGAGGACCTGGCAGCACCAGGGGTGTGGGGGGCGGTGTCTGCGTCTCTCCCTTGCTGTGCCCACCCTGGCCGTGTGCTCCCGGCTTACCCAGAAAGTACTTGACCTTCATAAAGTACTCCTGCCCGCTCATGTTCTGGAAGGTGAAGTGGGCCTTGGGGTAGAGGAGGTCCAGCTGCCGTGGGCTACATGCGTCCAGGTCCTGGGGCCCGACCGCCCTGGGGGGCAGCGCAGGGCCACGCAGTGAGCACAGAGCACAGCATGCCCACCTTGCCCAGGAGAGCCCGGGACTCACCAAAGGACACTGGGTTTCACGAAGTCCAGCTGCGTGGGGCTGAGGAAGCACAGGTACATGGGGCGGAAGGTGGCCAGGGCGTCCAGGGTGTCCTTGTCCAGCTGGCCCCTTCCTGCCACATAGCGGGCAATCAGGGCAGCCACCTGTGAGAGGAGGCCACTGAGCTGCCTTGGGGCAGGTAGAGAGTATCTGCCTATCGGCCCATGCAACCTCGTGCTGTTTCCCCCCTCAGGCCTGCACAACCTCATTCCATGTGACCTCTCCCAGGCAGGTGGTCACCTGAGCGTCCATTTTTCTCCCCTTGCTGACTCTGATCAGGTCTTTCACCATCTCCAGGGATGTCACATTCCATTTGTAGATGTCCTCGGGTCTCATCCTGAGAAAGAAGTAGCTCAGGCGCTGGATCAGGGACTCGGGGTAGCCTTGGGGGTAGATCTGCAGGGGGAAGTGACCATGAGGGCTGAAGCCACTCCCCGGGCGAGGGTGACAGGAAGACTCAGGCAAGGCAGGCATGCGGGAGCCATGTGGCGAGCTACCTCATCCAATTTGCGCTTAAAAAGGTCAAGCTGCTGGTAGGTGAAGGGCATCATGTTTACACGGTCCATCTGGGTGGCCAGCAGGGCCCCGTGCACACAGGCCTCCATCTCCCACTCCTCGTACAAGACCAACTCCACATCCACCAGGCGGACCTCCCGCCCTGGGGGGCAGGCACCCTCTGCAGGGGCAGGCAGGGGTCAGGGGCCAGCCTTCTCCTTTCAACCTTTTCCTCACCTTGAAGAATGAGTTACCCTCTCTGTGCCTCAGTTTACCCACTGGCAAGATGGGGCAATTCTGTTTACTCTGCCATCAAGGTTCACAGGCAGGGGCTGGTGAGACCCTACAATGCTAATCCACCCACCCCCCAAGTGTCCTGCCCCAGCCTGATGCCTGACGGGGCAGGGTGCAGGGCACAGGGCTCACTCTTTGTGTCTCGCCGGAGCCTCGGGAGGACGACAGTCCTCTGCTCAGGCCACTGCCAGTATGGATCCCGGTAGGTGCGTTGCAACCAGGCGGTCATGACACCCTGAGGATGGAGCAGGGCCATGGCTGAGCCTCCATGGGCCAGGCGTCCGCAGACCAGACAGGCTGGGGGGTGGGGTCTCACCTTTGGGATGCTGTGGATGACAGTCTGGTCCAACAGAGGCAGCAGACCCTGCAGAGCTTCCAGGGTGGAGACTGACCACCTTGATGGGGGACTGTCCAGATACAGGGGGCCCAGCTCAGGGACCCCCAAATGCAGCCCCAGACAGAGAGGGCAGGAGACAGAGCCAGGGCCAGGTGCTGTCCCTGGAGAGGTGCTGGGAGGACTCTGCAGTGGGGCATTGGCAGGGGTTGCAGCAGGGGACGCTGGCCCTGGGCCATGCAGCACAGCCGTGGATGCGCTCACATGTACCAGCCCGAACACACCTTCAAGGTCCCAGACACCTCCACTCACCCATACGGGGGTCCTCCGCCCTGCAGAGCCACCCTGGCTGCCTCCTGCTGATCCTGGTCCAGGGGTCCAGAGCAGCCCGCCAGCCGGGGTAGGAGGGCTTCCGCCGAGTGGGCCACGAAGTGCCCAGGCAGGTCACAAGCCAGGCCTCCCAGAGCCTGCACATCAGCCTTGCTCACCCGAGACCCCCGCACGCCCTGCATACATGGCCGGCCTCAGCGCCTTTGCAGGGACAACTGAGCCCCCTCCTGCTGTGCTGCACCCACCAGCCCCAGCCCATACCAGGCAGGCCAGAGCTGCGGGCAGCAGCCGCTGCCGCTCCGGAGCCCTCTGTGGCAGCACGTCCACGTTGGCCTTACTGACGCGGGAGAAGAAATGGGCACAGGCCTGGGGCCCTGGGAATGCAGCCGGGCTGTGGAGAGAGGGTGCTGGGGGCAGGCCATGCCTGATGCTGCATGGCCCTGTGCCAGAGCTGGCCTGGCTGGGCCACCACAGCTCCCACTTTGGCTTCAGGTGCAGGTGGGGGCAGGGGGGTGCAGTGCCTACTCAAGGAACAGCAGCATGTCCAGCGGGAAGGTGTCCAGGTCCTCAGGGACTCGGTGCTCAGAAAGGCGGCGTGCCAGACAGCGCAGCTGCCAGGAGACCAGACGTCCAGCATGGAACATTCTGGACACTGCCCCCCTCCAGGATGGGCCAGGGCCTCCCTGGTTGATCCCCACCCCCACCCCACTCTGCATACACTGTCCCACAGCCCTGCCAACACGGAGCCTGGGGTGGTAGATGTCCCTCCGCCTCCAGGGCCATCCAAGGAAGACATGCGCTTGGCTGCCCCCTCCCCCACCTATCATACTTTTACTGGTTCTCCATTTGGGGACAGAGCCTTGAAGCCTAGCCTCGGGGCTCCAGAAGGGGACCCCAGAAACTGGGCCTCAACACAGCTGTGATGGCCAGGTCATTTCAGACTTGGTCTCAGAGAACTGGACCCCAATGGATACGGGTACCCTAGTGGTCAGCTTAGGTGGCCAGAGGAGCTCTGGAAGGACGGACTTGTGGTGAAGATGCATGTGGGCACCAGGGACCAGCCTGCCGACTCCCTAGCGGGGAAGGGGCCCGAGTATGCCCCACCCACCCCGGCCCAAGGACCACACAGGGACTAACCTGATCTGCATGGAGCGTGACATTCTTCTTCCCCAGGGCAATGGCCAGCTCTTGGACACGCTCTGCACTCAGGTCTGACACTATCACACACGTGAAGCCAAGGAGGAGGCCTGGGGAGAGGCTGGGGAGGGCCGGGACGTGCACTGGAGATGGCACCACCAGTGCCCATACCCCCCGCAATGCCCTTTAAGACCCTGGTGCTCCCAGGGGACTTCCCCCAGGGCCAGGTGACACCCTCAAGGATCAGGGATGCTGTCCTCTGGAGGGGACAGAGGCTCCACCCAGCCCTAAGCCCAGCCAGGCAGGGACACAGGAGTGAAATGATCCCACCTGGGTGTCCCCAGGACCTTCCCAAGAGGCAGATCTGAGGAGGAGAAAAAGCAGGAGGGGGGCATTGGGAGGGCAAGCACAGCAGGCTTGGGGCGCCTGGCCAGGCACAGTCAACGAGGCCCCCAAGCACGTGGACTTGAAGGCAGCGGAGATCCTGAACCCACCTGGCAAAGTCAGACACGTTGGCCACGGCTTGGTCAAGGGACTCAGCCTCCTGCTCCTGGGGACACAACGCCTGCTGACCACGGCGACTGTGACCAGCTCCCCCAGAGCTGGAGCTGCTCGGGCTCAGCTGCACCTTGGGCTCAGCTACTTCAAGGCCCAGGTACTCCAGGGTACAGGTACTCCCTGAGTCCAGCTGTTTCTGGGGCCTCGCTACAGTCTGGGCTCTGCTACTCTCTGGGCCTGGCTGCTCCAGGCGACCAGCCTTATCTCAGATCCAGTTACACCTTTGCAAGGGGACCTTTGAAACTGGCACACACAGCTTCCCAGGTATGTGTGTGTATGAAAGAGAGAACACAACCAGCATCCCCCACCCCCATGCAGGGCTGAGACCCCCACCCAGGACCAGAAAACTGTCCCCTGTCTCCCCACAGGGGCCCTTACCGGTCCTGTCTCTGCAGCCTGGGCCCTCCAAAGTTGCATCCACTCTGCAGGGGGAGAGGGCACAGGCTTGAAGGATGGCCTGGGGACTTATGGATGTGCTTTGGCAAAGCCTGGCCTCGCCCTGGCCCCCAGCCCTGTGCACACCCCACAGAGCATGGAAGCAGAGAGTTAAGGCCCTTGCACCCCTTGACGTCATAGCCCACCCTCCCCCCAGGCACAGTTGTCTGCACCCCACCAGGGAGCCAGGCCTCCCACATGTTCCTCCTGAGACGCAGCTGCTCTGGGCGGTGGGATGCCCATCCCACGACATCCCCACTATGGCCTGAGCCCCCATCACTCCCTGGCCCAGGTTCCAACCCCACCTGGGGTGCTGGACACAATCATCTCTGGGGGCAGAGAGGTGATTGATGGCCTGCTGGACTCAGGGCGCCTGCCCACAGCTGTGGAGAAGGCCTGAGTAGAGCTTTCCCAAGGTCCTGACCCCCTAAGGACCCAGGCTACCCTCCACCCCAGTCCATCAGTCCCACCCTTTGCAGCAGCCCACCCCCACACTCACCAAGGACGAGGAGGGACAGCAGTAGGTTGCTGTGGGTGGCGGTCGCACAGGACCCCAGAGTGGATGGAGCCATTAGCAAGGCCATAGTCTGTGAGGAACAGTGACTCTGATGCCCCTGTCACTTGGGCAGGACAGGACCCATTCACCCACCCCAACTCCTTGCCCCCATCCCAGGCCAGTATGGGACCTTGTGAGGCCCAGGAGGGCTCCCAGGTCGAAGCTTCACAGGCACCTGCCGCACGCACGTCTGTGCCACGGCCCTGCTCTCCAGGCCTGCCCCCTCCGGGAAGCGGCTGCAGGGAGGCAGGTTGGGTCTGAGTCAGCCCAACCCCCAACTATGAGAGCCCAGTGTCAGTCAACCAGGGCCCATCCCCTCCCCGCACCAGCAGGGCAGGGTGGTAAGAGTTTAGAGCAAGGAGACAGAGCCACCTACCCCTGCGGTTGGCCTCAGTTTCCACCTGCAGGTGCCTGGGCTTTGTGCACCCAGGGCCCTCCAGGGGATAACGCCCAAAGTGGGGAGGGCAACACAGGTCCATGCCCCTCCCCTCTGCCAGGCCTGGGCGCAGCACAGCCTCTCTGGCCCCATTCTCAAGTGTAAACATGGGTGGGGCAGTGGGTGGGTGGGTGGACAACTTGGGGGGATCCCTTTGTGCTCTCTGGGATGGGGCTTGGGAGCCAGTATGGGGTGGGGAAGTGGGTGGGGAGCCCCTCCCTGGAGAAGAATCATCCTCCTGGGATAGGGGTGGGGCCTGAAGACCAAGCCTCCTTCTGTGCTCACCCCCCAGGGTGGCTGAGAGGAGTGGAGCCCCCTCCAAACCTTGGCCCAGGCCTGTGTGGGTCTCTCCCACAGCTCGAAAACAAGGGGCACCTCACTTTCACATTTCAGCTGCCCCTGTCGTCAGGGCAGAGAGCCCCACCAGGAGCCCCGCCGGGCCAGCTCAGCAGTCAGGGGAATGTCTTGGGGAGCCGTAAACCTTCCAGGTGACTTCCTCTCCCTCCTCCCCAGGTACCAGAAGAGGAGGGGAGGCTCCTGCAGCTTTGAACATCTTGAGAAGGTAGAAAAAACCCAGACCCCAGACCAGAACATGGGTCCAAGCACAACCCACAGGGATGCAATCCATTTTGGCCCAGTCCTGGGTGCATGTATTTATGTGTGAAACAGAAACAAAATCTCCAGATCGCCTATCCTGCCTTGTCTCTGAAAATGCTGGTCTGATGGGCACTGGTGGGGGCCGCACATGACAGGTGCCAGGGATCGGCCCATCTCTCCTCCTGTGTCCTCCGTGACCAGTGTTCACCAGGTCATCCACTGCTCATTAACCACCTGCACACTTGCTGAGCACCTACCATATGCTGGGCACGTGCTAGAGTCGGAGAGACTCAGCCCTGTCTGGAACCCTGGGGGTGGGGCCTGGCCACAGAAAGAGCCAGCCCTGTCCCGCCCTGCTACCAGGTGACAGCCATCCCCCTTAATTCCCCAGGTGAAGTGCGAGGTGGAAGAGGCTGGGGCTGTGCTGGAGGAATGGCCAGATCCTCCCCTGCCCGAGGGTCATGAGCTCTAGCCCCCAGCAGGGGCAAGGCTACAGGACACTGCTGAGGCTCTCTCCTGGCCCACCTGCCTCACCCACCTGCAGAATCTCCCAGCCCAGACCAGACTGGCCCCCAAGTGACAGAAAATGAAGTCAGACCACATTCCCTGCCAACCGCAGGCCTCTCTGGTGAGGTCAGGCAGAGGAGCTTAGTTAGGGATGGGTCTTCAACACAGGGTCATCTAGCCTGCCCGAAGCACAGGGATACCGTGTGGCCAGCCCAGGTCACACAGCATGTCAGGAGCTGGGGGGTGGAAATGAGCTCTGAGAGCAGGAGAGGGCACCCATGAAGAGCAGGGGCTGCTTGGTTTGGGGCTGGCCAGGGCCCCCTCCCCTAGCAGATCCCCATATAACCTCAGCCTGACCCCTGCTCCCAGCCAGAGCAGGTTTGACCGGAGGTGCCCAGAAGTGCTGTTGGGGTGTCCCTGCCCTCACGTCCCCTAGACAAGCCCACACACAAACATTGGTGTATGCATGACCCCGGGCCTTGACCCCAGGAGTCACCCATCACGGACCAGGCTACAGTCAGCCCCTCATGGGCCTGAACACTGAGCTCAGTCCCAGGAGATGCAGTTCCTGGGAAAATTCCCCATACCCCTGTTTTGAGAGCCCCCAGCTAAATTGGGGTCCCAGCACTGAGCAGCTGGCAACCTATCCTAACGGGAAACAAAGGGGAGCTGGACGTGGTGCTCACCGTGCACCTTTCATGGGTACCTCTTTTACCTGGGGATGGCTAATACCTCATTGTCCCACCCACGATCAGGGGTCCCTCACACAGAAAATTTATTTACCTGCCTGACGGTTGCTGTGGTGCTGGGAGCCAGACCTTGTGTCCTCCCCCCATCTCCACATCCCGGGGAAACCCAGCCTGGGGCAGCCCCCAATTCAGATGAAAGCGCGAAGTCAATACACTGCCACAATAGGGACTATGTTCAAAGATTTCTACTTACAGATCCTGGGCAGGGAGGGCCGAGCTCTGTCCCGGGTCACACAAAGCAAGAATGACATGCCAGGCAACTAGCAGTGCACACGAGAGAACAGAGTGTGGTCACTCTAAGCTCATGGGCAAAGGCATAGATGGCCCTTTAAAAGAAGCAGCAGGAAACCAGGGAGCCCAGTCCCCAAGGCCAGAGAGATGCCTCAAGTTCTTATCTGGAGCCTTCGGGTGTGGTGCTCGAATGCCTAGGCAGCTGCCTTTGCTGTGCCATTCTCGTACACCCCCTGGACCCCTTAGGTCTGAGTGGCCTTTGCAGGGCCCTGCCCATGGGATTCTGATGTGTCAGGGTGATCCGCCAAACCTGAGCCTCCTCTGCCTCAGTTTACTCAATTGGAAAGTGGGGTGGTGAAGAGGCCAGGCAACCTCACCCTGGGGCTGTCAAGGGAAACAAATGAGTCTGTGCCTGGGGCAGCTGGGAACAGTGGCTGCTCATGCCGCAGGAATGTGTGGGTGGAGACCCTGTGGAGGAGCCTCAGAGGGGCACCACGCCAGACCTGGGCCGCTGTGAGGGAGGAGGGGCCCAGAGGGAGTGGAGAGCTGACCTTGGCCTTCCCCTGGGTGGGTGTGGGTGGGAGCGCCAGCCCCAGGTTCTGTGGGACCTGACTCTCCTGTTTCCCAGGTGGTGAAACTGCAGAAGTAGAGTGGACAAGATCACATGACAAGGTAACTTTGTCATCTCCCTGCTGGACGGTCTCCTCAGGCCACTCCACCCATCCCAGGCCAGCAGGTTCTGGATGGTAGTCACACAGCCAGGATGTGACTCCTAGGAGCATCAGCCATAACCGTGGTTTCTTTCAAATAACCTCCTGACTCACATGGTGTGCTGTGGACAACACCACGGCCGTTAAGTGATGGGGTAAGGGCTATGAGAACACACAGCCCAGGGGAGGGAAATTCAACCCTAGACCAGGCCTGCTCCAGCAAGCACATGGCACTGCCCCTCCATGATGGCAGGGCGACTGGAGTCCACCCACCCCAGGCACTGGCTTGTCTCCTGGAAGAGAGGTGGGGACCATCTTCCCAGTGCATCTGTGCTGGCTGCACACTGCCCCAGGGATGGCAGAGTTTTTCTTCCTGACCTTGGGCCACAGCCGGGGGGCATGACCTTGAAGCCAAAAGTCCAGGGCAGCTCCTTCACTTCCTCTCCAAGCCTTCCAGTAATTTTGAGAGCACTAATTCCCAGTGTGGAATCTGTCTCTGCTTTTAATACCTGCAAAGGTTTCTGTTTGCTAAGCTAAGTATATAAAGCTGCCTGTCTCTGATCGCCTGTTTCCATGGAGTGGGATTTCTATTATATGCTGTGGAACCCAACCCTAGTTAACACAGGATTCAGCAAGGCTCCCAAGTGCCAGAATGAACTTACAAAAGTCAATGGAGGGGTGAGTGCCTTTTTAAAAATCCCTTCCATAGAAAACAACTGAAAACTTTTGGACAAAATATATGAAAGCAATTACCTAGGTGCTCTGGGGAGTGAAAAAAGTCTGAAGATTATGGAGAGGAATTGATACTTAAGGGAAGATACCAGCATGGAGTGAGTGTCCCTTTCATGTGGTGGCCTTGCCCTGAAGGTAGGCAAGGGGGAGGCTGCAGTGGCATGAAGTGGCTCACACCCCAACAGAATCCTACCAAATTTCTGGCTGAAGGAAGCCAAACAAGGATCCCAGAATAACCAGAGACCAGAGAATGAGTGGAGAGCTCTAGAAAGCAGAGAGCTGGAGACTTCAAGTCTCTGGCTGCCCCCTGAACCAGGCATGTGCAGGGGAAACTGTCTGCAGCTTCAGCCAAATATTAAAAACTGGCTGATATCAGAGCCTGTGCCCACCACAGGAGTGGCAAAGTTCACAGCTGGCCAAGTTAAATGCCTGTAAAAACAAAAGCATCAATGGTCTTCATGAGAATATAACAGGATGCAGCATCTATGCCCCATAACTGTCACAATGTTCAGGATATAACCCCACAGTACATGGCATACGGAGAGCCAGGAATTGTGACCCATTCAAAAGGGAAAAGACAAACAACTGAAGCCACTTCTAAGATGAGTCAGACACTGGGATGATCAGACAAAGATTTTAAAGCAGCTGTTAGAACTATGCTCAATGAGGTAGTGGGAAAAGGTTGACCATGGATGAAAATGTAGAAAAAATAGAAAACATTTCAAAAGAGTGAAACAGACCAGCCTTACAAGAAATGCTGAAGGGAGTCCTACATCTGGAAACAAAAGGATGATAACTACAATCAAGAAGATGCAAAAGGATAAAACTCACTGATAAAGCAGCTACACAGATGGGAAACAGAAATGAATCAAACCTTATCACTACAAAAAAAAAAAAGAAAAAGAAAAAAGAAAAACCTACCAAACTACAATGATAAGCAGTAAGAGAGGAAGAAATGAACAAAAGGTATAAAAATATTCAGAAAATAATCAACAAAATGGCAGCAGTAAGTCTACACCAATCAATAATAACCTTAATGTAAATGAACTAAATTTTCCAATTAAAAGACATAGACTGGATGAATAGATTTTTTTAAAAAGACCCAAGGGCCGGCCCGTGGCTCACTTGGGAGAGTGCGGTGCTGATAACACCAAGGCCACGGGTTCGGATCCCATATAGGGATGGCTGGTTCGCTCATTGGCTGAGCGTGGTGCTGACAACACCAAGTCAAGGGTTAAGATCCCCTTACCGGTCATCTTTTAAAAAAATAAAAA